CCATCGATTGTGAGCGACGGAACTTGGTCCACCTTTTTGTTTGTAAAGATTAGATGAACTGATTTATGCTGATTTAGCTTGATTTTCCTTTTTTTTTTGTCCATTCGTGTATCTTATTACATGCATTTTAGAGGATTTTGGTTGAATGGGTGATAGTCGGTCCTAGTGATATCACCGCTGTGGCATCTGCAAACGTAGCAATTTTAACTTAATCTTCCGAAAATCATTGGTGTATAACAAGTAAAGCAGTGGACCTAATATGCTACCTTCTGGCACTCCTGTATTTATTGTTTTTAATTTTGAATATTGATCTTCTTGTTTGAAACAGTCTGTCTGTTAGGTAGGAACTGATAATATAACATACCTTTTAGTTTATTGATGAGTCCTTCGTGCCAGACCTTGTCAAAAGCTTGTGAGACATAAAGGAAGATAGCAGAACAAACTTGTTTTTCTTCAAGAGATTTTTCTATTACGTCCGTTACTCGGTGAATTTGGTCTATTGTTGAATGTCTTGTTCGGAATCCAAATTGGTGGTTAGGAATCATTTTCTTTTTTTCTACAATGTGTTTTATTCGTTTTAATAATAACTTTTCGAAGAGTTTAGACACTGTCGGTAGTAGCGATATTGGTCTATATGATAAGACCTAGTTCGCCGGTTTTCCTGTTTTTTTTTTATCATAATGACTTCTGCGAATTTCCAGATGCTGGGAACATATTTTAGTCTGATTGCAGCATTAAATAGGTATGTTAGTTTAACTATACCCCTTTTTGGCAATTGTTTTAGTATTTCTCCAGTGATAAGGTCATATCCTGGAATCTTTTTAGCAGGTAATTTTTTAATTTTTTGTGCTACTTCTTTAGGTGAAACAATCTTTATATTTTCTTTTTGTGGTGTGGTTGTTACTTCAAGTAAGCTGCCATTGTTGTTTTCATTTGGTTTGAAGATTTCAGCAAGTTAACTAGCTAACAATTCGGCTTTTTCTCTGCTGTTACTCGCCCATGTACCATCCTCTTTTTTTTAATGGAGGAATTTGGGCGATTGGTATTTTAACTTTTTTATGGCCTTCCACAAGTAGTCAGTGGCTTTGCCTAGTGTTTGATCTTCTAGATATTTCTGATTGAGTCGTCATTTAGTTTTTTTAGCTTCCGTTTAAGTTGTTGAGCCATATTGTTAAGAATGTTGCCTTCTTCTCCAAGCCTTCCTTTTCTGATTTATTAGTTCTTTAATTTCCTTGGGGGATAGTCTGCCTAGTATTACACCATGCTGAAGCCTGAATGATTGAGGTGAACACCTCTGTTTCATTATCTAATTGGCACATTATCTAATTCATAATCTAATCGATAGGAACATTAAGGACTGTTTTTGCATCCACGTCTAAAGCAAAACTACTCCAGTCAGTAGTTAAATTAACTAATTTTGGCTTGCATTGTTTTGTATTATCCTTTCACTTAGCGTCAGTATAACTGCTGAGTGATCAGAATTTAGATCAAAGTTTTCTGTTACGTTAATGAAGTTAGGAGAAATTTTTGGTAATAAAAAAGTCTAAGAGATCAGGTATTTTGTTGCAGTCTGTTGGCCAGTAGGTTGTTTTCCCTGTAGAATGATAGATGCACCCTCGCGTAGCTTTCCTTAGTTCGCGGCCTTTGGTGTTAGTCAGTCTGGATCCCCAGTCGACATGTTTAGCGTTGAAATCACCGCCTACTATGAACCTTTCGCCTAGGTATTCAAGGAGTCTCGAGTAATCAGAACACATTAGATTGTGCTTTGGCGAGCAATATACTGCGCCAATAAATATTTTATGTTTGGCAGAGTTGAGTACGACCACGGTGAGTTGGATCTCATCAGTTTGAAGAGATCGATATTCGAAGTGTCGTATGTTGTCCTTTATGATGATAGCGCTACCACCGTTAGGGTTGTTATTAGGCTGGAAGGTGTGATATATTCTTTAGCCATTTAATTTTAAAAATAACTGTTTTGTTAGGTGGGTTTCAGTTACTAAGCAAATATAATTTTCTGCGTATTTAGAAATATTTCAAGTTCTTGTTTTTTCCCTAGTATGCCATTTGCATTCCAAGTTGCAATGCAATTTTAAGATCTTGTCGGCGCATTTGAAACTAATTTTGCTTCTAGTCTTTCTAGCCGATCAGAAAGTTTGGTCATTGCGGTGGTTATGTTGGCCATCATTTCCACCATGTGCTCCTGATTGTACGTTGACATTGTTTGTTCTGGGATGTCTATGCGGGCTACTTGAGCGTAGGTTACTCCATTTTTAATTGATCTGGGCCGAGGAGCCCTTACTACTAAAGAATCACGTTTATTAGTTGATTTTATGTGGTTTTTCCTTGTTGGTAATTCTTTCGCAATCATACATCCTCTGTAATTTGCGGGATGATCACCTGCACAGTTATGGCATTTTGGAGCTTCTTCTTTCGGCTTAGAGCTGTTTGCTGTTAGGTGTTCGCCAGCACATTTCACGCATATTGCTGTTGTTTGCAATATTTTTGTGTATGACCATATCGTTGACATTTTTTGCACTGAGGAATCGCCTTGCTGTTTTTAATGGCTTCCATTTTGACTTTTATATGGCATATATGTCGGATTTTGAAAATCTTTTTAATGTGTTCGGTATTTTCGAAACTGGGCATGGACAAATGAAGCGGAGTTGTCTTTTCCTTCGTCTTTCTTATTTTATTAACAATTGATATTATCTTAAAACCTTCGTTATGGAGGCAAGTTACAATATCTATTGGATCACAAGATGGGTGTAAATTCCTGGCCATGACTCTTATAGGCCTGGTTTGTATATTTTCATTTGCATGCCACTCGATGTTTTTTGAGCTGTTCATGAGTTCTGTAATTCTCTTATACTCAGTTTCATTGTCAACGTTAATTTTTATTTGATCATTGATCATGAGTTTAGCTTTAGAATTAATTTTCTGTCCTTGAGAGCTTCATATATTGGCTTCATATCAGTCACATTGCTTAGTACTATGGGTGGTGGCCTTTGCACTTTTGCTTGTTTTTTGTCTGATCTGTTATCAACTGATTTTTTGATTAAATCAAAAGTATTACTTGAAGTTTTGATCTCACATTTTCAGGAGAAGACAATAAATTTTCTTTTTTTATTCTTTTGAACGAGCCATACCGTTTCTTGGCTACTATTTCTTCTTCTTCATCAGAAGTCGGTAGTGTGAATTTTTTTTCAGTCTGGCTCGGTGTTGATTTTTGTTCCTTCCAGTTAGGGACTTAATATAGGCCTTCATTTTTACGATCATGTTTTGTAATTCCTCATTACATTTGCGCTCTTGTGCGAATTGCAATTGAAGGGGATTTATTTATTCTGTCTTTCCCATCTTTTCGATCCTTTCCTAACCGGACAGGATAGAGACTGGAGACGAGTTTGGTAGAGCGGAAGGGGCAAGAGTGAGATTTTGAACGCTCGGAGTTTTCCGAGACGTTCTTCTGCTGATAAGCGTTTCCCTACCTTTTTCTGCTGACAAGGCAATCCTTATGGAGTGTAACTGGCCTACTTCTGGTGCAATTTTCAATTTCTTTCCGTTTGTTACAATATTTAAATTGTTTTTTAAGTTAGCGAAACTATAATTTTTAACACACTATTTCCACAACACACTATTTATAAGGTCCGCTACCCACTGGAGAAGTTTCAGGTCAGTTTTCGTAGAATAAACCATCGAAAAAAGAAACTTTCATAGAGCGAAACAAAACACGTCTGATCGCGTTAAACGCCATTGCGCGACTCTAAACTTAAAGGTTGGAAATATATTTCTTTTATAAAGATATATAATGACATTATGAAATTTTGTCGGTCAACGCAAGGTTAATTTTTCGGATATCGTTTAAACGGTGTTACGGCTACAAAAATAATAATTAAGGGCCCCTTTAATAACCCGCTTTTGTCTCTTTCCGGTTCCGTCCGCGCAAAATATGTTTAAACCAGCGGGATTAAGTAATTTTAAAACAGAATTATTCATGCTGTTCTCCTACTGGTATACTGACGGCCCGAAAACCGACAAGGGCACGGGAGCTGGAGTCTTGGGGATGAACCCAAAGACCGAACTGTCGGTAAACCTAGATAACTGTGGTACAGGTTTCCAGTCTGAAATCATAGCGATTGAACACTGCGCCAGGGCATAGGCTAGGAATACATTCCAGGAAGATAGCTATCTTCTCTGACAGTCAGGCAGCACTAGCCTCATCTGAGGTGAAGGTAAAGAGTGTTTGGAACTGCTTGGAGGCCCCGACGTCAGTGACACTAATGACCTGACCCTGGCATGGGTCCTGGACACTCGGGGCATAGTTGCAACGAAAAGGTTGACATATTCGCCAAAGAGGGGGGCCAACATGGACTATCTGAGTCCTGAACTCTATTGAGGCTTAGCATCCTGCAGCAAAAGAGCATACATCTTAAAAGGATCGTTAATGTGTCCAAAACCAGGTGGAACAATACCACAGGTATGAGGCACGCGAAGAGATTCATAGAAGGACCATCCGAAAAACTTACAACAGAATTACTGGAAGGCAACCGCAACCCAACTCCTGACAGGACATTGCCACTTAAGAAAGCACATGCACTGGATAGGAGTACAGACAGAAGAAACACTGCGCAGATACTGCCGAGGAGGAGGAGACCGCAGAACAAGTTTTATGTTTTTGTGAAGGTCTATGCAGGTTCTTGCAACTAGAACAAGAAAAACCGCAAGTAAGATACTACACTAAGGATCCGCTGGCAAAGCTATGATGATTAACAACCTGAATCTGGCGAGTTATAAAAACTAAGGGAGCACAATAGTTCTATTCAGGTCGAGATGCAGAAAGCCTTGTGGCCCCTCTTTTATCCCTAACCCTATGCTGTTCGAGGTAACTCTCAATAAAGACGATAAGGTGAAAATTGGGAATAATTATAAGGGGTTTAATATTTTATGTAATTCGTTTAAGTCTGTAAAGTTCATATTTTAATTATCAATTCTTTCTTTTACAGGTAGGAATTATGGAAAGCCCGTCGATGAAAGTAAAACCATGTTCTACCTCATCGAAAGGTATTTATTCTAGTCAAAATGTAACAGACCTGACGCCCAATTTGGCCGATGGTCTAATTTTGTGAAAGTGTCAAATGAGCAAAATTTGGTGTTAAAAGGGGTAACCCGTTAAAATTCCAAGAGTTCGCCGATTCTCTCGATGACCTCAAGTACAGCGACATTTCCGAGCCAAACCGAACAGTCGTCCTTCTCCATGGCCTAGGCGGTAACTTCAACTCTTCCTCGAATCTTCTGATAGCCGAAGGTATTTTCAACCTGTTCAAATTTATTCAATTGCTTCATATCTATTGCTGAAATAGCGTAAATGGAACTGTTTTGAAATAAGGACAATATTGCTTTAGACATGAAGAGTCAGCCAGTTTTTGGCCGTCGTTCCAGTTTAAAAAGCAAATCTAAAAACAACAATAATATTTTTTCCTATTTAATAATAAACGAAATATTGAGCTAGATTTTATTCGACTTATAGTTATTTTTAATTTTTAATTTATTAATTTACACTATTAAGTGTGTTTTTTAGTGTTTAAGCATCATCCGTTCATAATCATCGTTTCATATAAATAAATTTTTTAAAAAAATGAGTATACGCTATGAAGTATGAAGTACTGCACATTTTTAAATAATATTTTGTTTTTATTTTTTGAATTTACAGCCTTGTTGAGACGAGAAGGTTACACTATAATAATAGCCGATTATGAGAAAGCCGCCGAAGGTCCAGATTACATAAGCGCCGCTAAGTAATTTTTTTTTCTTGTTAAAATTAATTTTTTAACTTGGCCGTAATGACTTCACAAATTCTTTTCCTTCCTAGGAACATGGAAAGAGTAGGGAAGGACGTGGGAAATTTCCTCCTCGCCGCTCAGGAAGACGGCTACATCGCCCTGAAAAGCACGACTTTGATCGGTTTCAGCCTGGGCGCACACGTTGCTGGAATAGCCGGTTACACGATCAAAGAATCTTCCGGATACCTCGACAAAATAATTGGTAATTAATTCACTCATAAGGACAAAAAGACGTCAATACAACGAAAAGCGTGAATGGGTTTCCTATTTGCACCAGCTTGGATAGTTCTTGAAACACGAAATATAAATCGATGACTTTCCAATTTAAAAAAAAAACTTAAGATTCTATACAGGGTTATCAACTTCTATAGTACATCAATTTTATTCAGAAACTATTAACAAGGAAAAATGGTTTTATAAATCCCCAAGTTAATTTTAATTAGGAATCGCGTAATGGTAACAGATTTAATATAACTTTCCCATCTTGCTCAGAAATGACACTAACTTCGATATTCTAAATGAGAATGCTTATCTTTATTGTATAATTCGATTCTACAGCTTATTTTATGCCACTTTTACTAAAAGGAAAATTTTGATAGGATCGACCATTTCTGAGTTATGTTTACTCTTTGTCAACAAAATTTATCAAAACATTAACTATGGGCTTGTATAAGAATAGTTTTAGCTAGAGTTAACCGATTTCGAATTGTACGGGGAGGGCCATCTTGTTGCTTTGTATGCAGCTTAGCCGGATTTCCGTTTAATCGTGATGATTGATTTTAATCACTCCAGAGCAGGAAATCATAAATTTTTCTTTACAACTAAAATGGGTTAATGAAGTATTGCTATAGCAAAAAACACGTTTTTCTATTTTTTTTATTTTATTGTTAATGGTGGGAGAATAACAACGAAAAAAATAAACTATTGTACCAACTGAAAAATCAATACTGTGCTATCTAATCTTATAATGTTTGAACTTTTATATGAAATGCAGGTAGATTTTCCAGTCACCAGAAACGATAATCAATTATAAATACCCTTTTCGAACAAGGGAAAATATTTTCATTGATTACATATAACTGAATATAGTAAATTTTAAAGAACGCATACTTTTTTAACACTATTTTTGTTTCATTAGCCTTTTACATTCTAAAGATAGATCCCAATTATATTTATTTTTTAACAGATTGTAATGATTGAGATAATAATTAATTATTAAAAAGTTAAAGCCTGTAGTGTAGGTATCTATTGTTTCTGCTTATATTCCCACTTTAGCTTCTATTGTTTTTTTTTAATACACCATTGATTAAATAAAAACTGGAGAAGTCTTTTCATCAAAACAACTATTTAAATAAATCTTTTATCTTTTAAAACACGAAAAATGTATTTATTATTGTAAAATAGTAATATTAATACTGGTAAATAAAATTTTTTGAGGTATTATGGAAAAATATACTTGATAAAAAATGATTTATCTCTTAAAAAATAAACAATCTAAGACAAAAACCGGACGCTTGTATTTATTTGTTTATTTTGTATAATAAATAGGCATAAAGATTAATAGTTAACATAAAACGTAAACATAACATTAATAACTTTTTGTTTACCTTTATGAGTGTTACTAATCCTTTTACACTTTTTAGATTAGAAATAAAGAAAATCAGTTTATTTTTCCGGAAAAAAATCCCCGGGCCATGATCTTATTACCCCTAAAATCTATTTATAATGCAATATTTCGCACAACCTATTTCTCTATCCAGTGGGAACTATCGTTAATAATCCACTACCAAAACCACACTAATCCCCCAGTGCCCCATCCTCTCGTAGACCATTAAGCCTCAATCCATTTTATCCAAAATTTTTGAACGTCTCCTTAAAATACTAATTCCCACATTCGACTCTGTAAACTTAATTCCTGACCATCAATTTGGGTTTCGATCTCTCCATTCCACTGTTTAGCAGTGCTTCAGTGTATTCGCACAACATCCTCGGCTCTAGAAAACAAACAATACTGCTTAGCCGTATTTCTTACGTTACGGAAGCATTTGACCGAGTATGGCACCCCGGCCTCCTCTATAAGTTAAAATGTATCCTCCAGCATTCCTACTACCTTATCGTGAAATCCTTCCTCTCAGGTCGATGGTTCAAAGTAAGAATCGGCATCGATTTTTCACCTATCACGCTAATCAAAGCTGGCTTTCTACAAGGAAGTATCCTAGGCCCAATCCTCTACACCATCTACACTGCTGACATGGCCACACATTCAAACACACAACTCACAACCTACGCGGACGACACCGCAACCTTATCAACACACTCTAATCCTATCCTAGCAACATAAGCACATTCAACACCTGAACCTCATTACCGATTGGTGCAATCTTTGGTGGATCAGGTTAAACGAACAAAAAAGCCAACAAGTTACTTTTGCGCTCAAACCTGTTCCTCAGTGCACATTTACAACAAGAGCTGAGCATCCAATTAAATTTAACCTTCACAATAAAAAAAGAGAGTTCCAGCACTGGTTGGTTTCTCTCACACTGCCTCCTGGTCTGACAGGTCTGCCAGATTTGTTTATAACTAAACTATTTGCTCAATGTATATTGTGTACAGACCCCCATTCCATTGGGACAACTGGGAGTTAATGCATGATAATGCTCGACCGCTTGTAGCTCGAATTGTCGCCCACTATTTGGAGGATGCAGGGATTATCACATTGCATTGGTCAGCACATGGCATGACCAAGTGTCGGGTTAGACACCTTCCCCGCCTCCAACAGGTTGAACAGCTTCAAACTGCTTTTATTAAAGAATGGGATTCTGTTTCACAAGACGAAATCCGATCGCTGATTTACTTTATGCCTGGAAGAATCAATGCCCTCTGCGAAGCCAGAGGAGGTAATGCACGTTATTAAGAGCAAAACCAGAGTCTAACATCCATGCGGTTATTCTATACACTGCGGCCAATACACCTACCCACTGAACTTAATATTACCATAATAATGTCAGTAACAATATTTATAAATTAAATTGTTTAATCACTAAATAATTAATAGTTACAACACATAAACTACAATATTGGATATTTCAAAATGTGGCCATATTTACTTTATTTATACTTTTATCTCTTATTTACTCCATGCCTAGAACACTTAAAGCGTAAAACGCTTTTTATCGCTAAATAATTTTCCAAATTTTTGGTGAATTTTCTTTTAAACCTTCATAATTAAACAAGTTTTATTAAAGCTAATAAATTACAATTAATTAAGGGTTTTAGTTGAGATGAAAAAAGCTAATGGCACGAGCGGGATTCGAACCCACGACCTTCGGCTAGATACGCCGCTGCTCTACCACCTGAGCAATCGTGACCTCGGTCCACTCGGACATCAACTCCCCATCTCAACCCCACCTTATGAGTTTTCCCTCCTTTTGCCATTTTTCAAATGTTGTGTAATCGGTTTGGATTCTCGACGACAATTGAAATGGCGACGGAGAGCTTTAGTGAAGTGTACTTCATTTTAATTCATTAAATTCACTAATTTCGTTAAAAACAGTAAAATTTTACACGGACAGGCAAAAAACTGAAAGGACCAAGCTACAGGTTTTGTAAAATCGCTCATTTTTCCTTGAGCATAGTGAATCTAGGTTTGAGCTAGATTTAAACGTTTCAGTTGGACACTTTGTTAAATCGAAAAAAATCTGTTATTGTTAAATAGTTCCAAATATTTTTCGTAACAAGGGGAGAGAAGAGACCATTCTATAAATCGAAATAGCCATATTCCCTTATTATAATTAGAATTTTTTCCCTCATAATTTCCACTATTGATAAATGTTTTCAGGTTTCTTCGAATTTCCTCTAATTTGTTATCACACGGAGAATTATCGACCAGCGATGATTAACGGTAGATGATTGGGGTCATTGTGAGCCTATGCCATTAAAATAACTATGTTTATCTTTCTGTAGAGCCCTGAGGAAGGCTTAATAAAAAGCCGCAAACTTGGCAAAAAGAAACGGCCATTTTGGAACGCATAACTGATTACAATTGCTAATTTGTTATGTTCGGTACTCACTGTTTTGTCAATTTGTTCTCAGAACTTTGTTCAATGTTAAAATCAAAATCATTTAGACGAAGAACGCCAGGCCGCGTTGAAACAAAAATTACGTGATTTTTTTTTACATAATGCAATTTTCATTATTTTTACGTTATTTATGTGTAATATAAAATTTAAGTAAAAATTTTTAGAATGAGACAACTTACTAACTTGAGTTTTATTCTTTCCTCTTGATAAAATGAATTATTTTTGTGGTCACTTTGCTTTCGAATTATCGACAGTCCACTATAGTGGGTGTGGCACGAGTTGGATCCCGAGAAGGTATAACGCGTTTAAGTCTGGCAGGAAGTCTGGGCGTTAATTGCTGGAATTTATTTACTGTTAACCCAAAACTGGGTTAACGCTGTGACATTTCTCCGTGAATTTGTCTAACTGTTCGAAGAAGAATTCACAGACCATTCATCAGGGACAAACGCATAAGACATTTTGTAATTGCCGACTTTTAGGAAGCCCGGTTATTCTGGCCACAGTCCACGGATATCACTTTTCAACAGTCGTGGCAATTTTTGGTAAAATCTTATAAGTCTCACCAGTCTAATTCTACTGCCAATTGAAGGTCTTTCTGAGTCCTTCTTCTAACACCATATTATCTTTTACACATCCGCTTTCTGGAACCTTCGTTAAATAATATCGAATTCTAAACAATATTTGACATTCGCCCCATTCAAAGTCGCAAAATGTATATATTACAAATGTTTACATTAAAAATTTGGGGACCGCGGTAGCCGAGTGGTTAGCATGAGAGACTCTCACGCCGCGGTCGTGGGTTCGATTCCCACCGTCGCCTCTGGCCCTTTTGTCACAATAACCCCCCAAATTTGATCACATATATATGAATTGTCACATGGCTAATATGCATAGTTCATAACGCAAAAAAAAAAAATACATTAAAAAAAGTACTTCCTCGCATTATTTTGTACTGTCAAAGTTAAAAAAATAATTGTATTTAAGTGCGACTCATGTAATTGATAAATATGGAGTATACTTTCCATTAAAATGTGGAAACAAAAAAATTTCATTAACATTAAACACCTTGATTAATTCAATTAATTAAGGTTTTTAGTTGAGATAAAAAAAGTCGGTGTCACGAGCGGGATTGGAACTTCGGCTAGATACACCACTGCTCTACGACTTGGGCTATCGTGACCTGGATCCACTCGGACACCAACTTCCCATCTCAAACCCCACCTTTTGAATTTTCTCTCCTTTTTACCATTTTTATCTCAACTAAAAACCTTAATTAATACGAAGATATGAATTGGTCAAGCGGACCACTAGTGAACCTTGATTAATTTTATTTCCTAAAATATTTAAATTTTTTGAACTGCATTAACACCTCTTTCAGTAAGTTTTGTGAAAAACAGACCGACCATTGATGACATTACTGGGTTTTTGTACTCCCGAGGGTTTACGTTTGTCTCGAATAATTTAGGCCATCTTCAGTGAGTAATTGTCCGTTGCGTTGTCCGTGTATGTTTTTATATACACTGATAGGCAAAAAATTCCATCCAACTGTTTTTTTTTTTTTTCATTTTCTTGATAAGAGAAAATTCTGCCCTTAATAATTTGTCTCATTGTTTTTTTCAATAAATATTTGTTTAAGCTATGTTGTAAATTGGGAATATCAATTAGACATAAACACACTTGATCCTTAATCCAAAACAAGGATAAAGGCTTTTTCAATGTTTAATTTTTACGGGATTTAAAATGTTTATTCAGCCTCATTTGAATTCTGAAGAAATAAAACTTTAGTTTTCATCTTTGTTTTCTTACTTTCAATTTTTCAATTTAAAATGCCATTTAGTGCTGAGGATGTTGGGCGTAATGTGACACTTATTGATGATGGACGTTCCATCAGGTATGCGGGTATTGCCATCGGAGTTCCCTACGAACCTCTGCGAGACGCCGTTAGACGTTTTCGAGAAACTGGGTTCTACCGTAGAAAACCCGGTTTCGACGCCCTAGGGTCCATATTTCTGAACGCACTGCTTGAAGAAGATTAAATCAGTATGGACTGATGGCTTGAATTGACTAGGACACAGGGAGTTGCAATACTCGCATTTGCTCGAGAACACACCCATTGGTCTTTGGTCGATTGGCCTGCTGTACATTTTACAGATGAGTGTAAATTTGCTCTAGGATCTCCAGATGGGCGTGAAAGAGTGTGGAGAAGGTGAATTGAAAGGTACGCAGCCTGTAATTTTTCCCAGAGCCAACCTTTCCAATGTAGGTCGTAACGGTGTGGGCGGGAATTTCAAAGAAGAGTGGCACAAAGTTGGTTGTTGTTCGTGGAGGGTGTTTGACCACTCGCCATGTGGATGAAACTTTGGAACATCATGCGTTGCCTATCCTTGATGAAATCAGCGACAGTCCTACTATAATGCACCGAAATGCCCGTCCACATGTCCCCTCGAATAGTGCATACGTACCTGCCACAGCACAACATCAGGGACTTAGCCTGGCAGCCCGTTCTCCAGACTTGAATCCCATCGAACATTTATGGGATAACCTCAAAAGACGAATAAGACGTCCATCATTTGCTGACTCCACGATCTTGAAAAGACTATTCTTGAAGAATGGGCTAACCTACAGCAAAGAAACATTTCCAGGCTAGTATATCGAGGCGTCTTCGAGACGTAATTAAGGCAAGATGAGGAAATACGCGATATTGAAATGTTAACTGAAAATCTAAAACAAAATTAAAACAAATTTTATCTGTCCGTGTTTTTTAAATTATAATTTTTTTTATATATTTTCCTTAGCAATTTCATTTTTTTCACTTTTCTACACAATGACTCAACTATTAAACGTTAAACAACGTGCAACTTTGATTAATATATAAAAATAAATACAAAGCAAGTTATATTACAAATTCGTGGAATTTTTTGTCTGTCAGTGTTCTTAGGCGTTACTTATTTAGTCATTTTTTCATTTATTTATTGTTTGTTATATATAGTTTGACGAAAATGACTTCTTCCAACCTTGCCGGGGCTACAGTACGAACAAAATGTACGAGAATTTCGTAAAAGTTCGCTTTTACAGGTCTCGATCCACCGTCACCGTGGTTTGCCGACGTCGGACCTGAGCTTAAACTGGACAAAAGTGACGCAGGCCATGTGGTCGTCATCCACACGGCTTCGGGCTACTTGTCCATGGTAGAGCCGTTTGGCCACGTCGATTTCTATCCCAACGGAGGCACCGAGCCACAACCGCTATGCGAATTCAGCAAGCTCGCTTCTAGTAAGAAAACCTTTTTTTTAATCTAAAGCATTGTTAATCACATTACTTGCAAATCAGACATGAATTTGCTCTTTGTTACAAAAATAATGATACAGATTGATTCGTCATGCCTATATAGTCGGGGTCCTGGTTACAGTTGTCTGCAGTCATCTCGCCGCCTACAGATACCTGGCAGAGAGCATCATGAAGCCCGGCTTCATCGCAACCAAGTGCCCGTCCTGGAAAGACTACGAAACAGGATTGTGTGAAGGAAATGAAAAGACGTTCATGGGCTTCGACACAGACTCCAAGTTAGTATGATAAGTTCGTGAAGTTATTGAAACCCCAATTGGTCCCCTACATTTTAAAATCTTAACGAAAATTGGTTATTGTGTAAAAAATATTCACATAGAAAACTTTGAATAAGGTGCTTATTAAAAAAAAACATTAGGGACTTGAAAATAAAATTTTGCCAAACTCAACCTTTGTTTGTATGTACGTGGCTGCAAAAGCGTGTTATTTTTTCTATTTTAGTTTTAAGTAAGAAAAATTTAGTGCCTTAAAACACTGCTAGTCATCACCCGATTAAAAATAGGCCGTGTGAGGTTGATATACTTTTGTCCCAATGCGTACTAATGTGTCTGTCGTTTAGGGAAACTTTGCTCGATATGTCCGCCTAATTGAAGAGTGCAATTCCTTGGCTTTATATAAGGAGCGTGTAGGAACTCATCCTGATTTTAGTATCTGGGTCCTCTATTCCAGTTTTTGTAGAAAACATGGTTGTACTATTATATGTAATATTGATAGTTTTGTGTCCTCAGCGTTGAGTGTGAATGTATATATTTGCGTGAAAGTGACCGGGCTGAGAGTATTGAGTACCCTATCAACCCTCAATTAATTAGTTATACATAATACATGTAACCGGTCATGGTAATCCTGAGTGAATATTATTTAAATAAGAATGAATGTATTTAAGAATGAGTTGAAGAGGAAATTGGTGCGATTTTTAGGCAGTGATTTGTTGGGGCTGAAATGACCTAGCTATTGCCAGCTCCCAGAACCTAACCTAGGTGGGTCAGATAAAACCGAGCTTTTAAGCGGGGAACACACTTCCCCGATGCAACGCCTTGCCACGTTTTGGTAGGGTGTGCACATCTATGCGACGTCAAGCGCACGCCACGTAGTCACACAGCGGGTATCACAAATCAGTATCACAATCGCAACGCCTCTTTTGTTCTTGCATTATTTTGAGCAAAACCTTGAAATAAATTGATAGTTAAATTTTATGAGCACAACCATGTAGTAAATTGTTAGTAAAACTTAATTGTTTTAAATAAAGTTATTACGGTGTTTTGATCAATTATCTTCCTAACCATCATAATTAAATAATTTTTATAAATTTTTGATCTCGTTCACTTGGTTTACATTAAATTAGGAATGTTGTAATTAAAATAACGACAAAATTACAAACATTTTTGTTTGAAATAAACTACATAAAATATGAGTGTCCTATTCTTTCGTACTCGACGAAAATGGTGTAATTTTATGAGCAAAACCATGAAATAAATTGTTAGTTAAATTTTATGAGCAAAACCAAGAAATAAATTCTTAGTTAAATTTTATGAGCAAAACCATGAAATAAATTGTTAGTTAAATTTTATGAGCAAAACAGTGTAATTAATTTTTAATCAAATTCATTATATCAAGAAATGGTATTCCGGTGTTTTGATCAATTTTCTACCAAACCGTTAAATTAATTTTTTTTAAAATAAAAACTAATAAATTTTTGATCTCGATTAATTTGGTTTATGTTAACATAAGTATGTTGCAATTAATACAACGACAATTGAATAAAAATATGAGCGTCAGGTTCTTTTGTCTTCGACTGTACTCAATGCTGCCAGACGAAAATCTGGACAGTGGGGATCGCAGAGCGTAGAGTAGGTTAGCGTTGCATAGCATCGGGCAGATGTGCACGGGGGTAATGCAATCTTATGGAAAATTTGACTTTCGATTTGCGTCGGGTAGCGTCGTATAGGGTTGCATCCGGTAAGTGTGTTCACCACTTTTAGTCCGGACTGCCAGCGTGGTGAGTGATTCTCGAGGTTTGCCGGTACTTTTTTATAGATTAAATAAGCTGGAATTGACCGCGACAACTGATACTATCAACGCTGTACACGTGTGTGCAGATTTAAGCTTATGTATCAAAGATCAATAACAATATATTAGTAAAATCTCTTCTGAATCCTATATTGAATAATAATAATAATTATTATTATATAATCAGCATTTTATCAGATGTTACACAATAAAAACTATTCTACCACCTTATTTATGATTGATTTGCAAGATAGTTCTATATGTGATGGTTACAGTATGAATATTGTTTTTTTGAGTGAATTCTTTGAGATTTTGACATTAATTATGCGTTATTGTTTCAGTGTGGAAGGAACGTATTATTTAAGGACGAACAAGGAGCCACCGTTCGGCTCGCCAATTAACTACGACTATGGCGAAATCGTCGATGAGAGCCAACCGGAGGTCTTCCAGGATGCGGAGAGTGATCCGACCAAGTATCGATATTACACGCCAACCTCCGGTGCGGCGAACGCGCAGGCATTTCTCTCAGCTTACCACCTAGCGATCTACCATTTATTTATCAATTGTATATTTGTTTTTATTACAATAAAGCTTTAATGAAACGACGGGTTCAGCTTTTACGCTGGAGCTGTTTCTCCGAGAGGAGGAACTGCCTCTTCTGGTACTCCCTCGAAATGCGGCACTGTAGATCCTCCGAGAAGACGAGCGAGTCCAACCACCAATCGCACTCCTTGCGATTTTGGTCTAACAAATAAAACCTGTAAAATAAAACATTTTTTTTTTTTTTAATAAAACAGAACTCACTTTCCTCGAGGGTGTATATGTAAGTCGGCGAATCAGCGGGTACCAGCTTCTCCATTTCCTCCAACGCCATCCCTCGTTTAAGCTTTTTCGGGAGGGTACTTTTTAAAGTGAAGTCTGAAAATGACAAAAGTTGAGTTTTATGGGTTTATTTGTTGATTTGAGACGATACACACTCGCCCAAGGGGATCCTATTTTTTCGCTGTATTCGGTTTTAGCGTTTGCCAAATAGGTCCATTTCTTCAAGTCGCACTTCGCCTGCAACGATATCATTTTGGATAAATAAATTTATCATCATACTTATTTTTATAATTAGTGGCACAAAAATCTGGCAATAGTGCATTAACATTATTGGTGTCTAAACATTTCTTGAATTTCAAAAACACTTCTTATTGGATTAAAAACCTCCAATAAGTTTCAAGTTTCGTACAACGGTTGTATAAATCATAATTTTTAAAAGTAAAATTTCTTATAATGTCTATTGTAAGGAGTGGTAATGCTAATTTCTATGCTAACTGTAAAATAAACAACTCTTTATAAAAAAAACTATATAAAAACTTTGACGATAAATGAAAATAAATAACTTCACTAATTTTGTGGTCCCCTTGACCAATTAATATACTACAATTAATTAAGGTTTTTAGTTGAGATAAAATTAATTAAATTAAAAAGATTAATTGGTCAAGTGGACCACGAAATTAGTGAATTTAATGATTAAAAATGAAGTATACTTCACTAAAGCTCTCCGTGGCCATTTCATTTGTCGTCGAGAATCAAATAGATTACACGATATTTGAAAAATGGCAAAAAGGAGGGAAAACTCAATAGGTGGGGTTGAGATAGGAAGTTAGTGCCCGAGTGGATCGAGGTCACAATGCTTAGGTGGTAGAGCGGTGTATCAAGCCGAAGATCGTGGGTTCGAATCCCGCTCGTGCCATTCACTTTTTTATCTTAACTAAAAACCTTAATTAGTTGTAAAATAAATAACTTTTCACTAATGATAAATAATGAATATTTCGCGATGGTGTCAGTAGAATAGTAAAAATATGGTTTATCCTTCGACAAATTTGTGAAACGGATCCAGGACGTCCAGATTTGTCCGACCACCCGTTTTACGAGTTTACGTCAAACCGATATCTGTTTTGACATTTGCGAAAGACGGAACAAATAAGAGGTCGACGTCATCAGAAAACGTTTAACCCCCCTGGCTTGGTACTGCCGGCTTGTAGTTCGTCCTTACGTTTCTCTCCAATTCGGCTATCTCACTGCACTCGCACGGGATTTGCCGCGGTTTGCACACCTCCGCGTCCAACTCGGAAAGCTGGATTATCTTTTTTTCGTAACTGCGAAAAGAAAAGTAGGAAAGCAGGTTTTGTTTGCCAAAGAAAAAAACACGGATCTGTTGTTGGATTAAGTCAAGAGGATTACCGTACGTTCAAATCCTTCTCTGTCGTGCAGTACGCCCTGTAAAAGTGATTATAAGTCGTCTCGTAGCCAGGGACTGTGTTAATCTTTGCCATTTTGAATAAACTACAATATATAAAAACTTAGACTAAAAACATGTGATTTTATATCGACTATCGTCATTTTTATTATTCAAATAAAAATGTTCCTCCGTTAAATGGAACATTACAGCAGAAATCAACGAATATAATTAGAATATTACTAAAATGTCTTTAGAAAACTGATTAAAATCTACAATAAATTAACAGTTGACCAAGGATCTCGTACAAGCAATGGACATTATAAAAAGACAACTTCATAGGGGTATTCACGATCTTTGTGTTAAACCTGTTAAGTATGTTAGGTCCTGTCAGATCGAGAAAAATGATGACGTAAACTTGTAAGAATCGGCTAGTAAATATTACTCGATGTAACAAGCCAGGGCCAATGTTAGATGTTAGGTCGAAAATGTAGTAACTTTTCAATCCGTTAGGGCGTAGGTAACCAACATGGCAGCCATGAATTTAACAGCTGTTTTCTGTTTACACGTATTTTTATTCTTAAATACGCATTAATTAAATCATACCAATACATTTCTTTTGTTAATTTCTGCCCTGTCCTTGTACTCTCATTCATAATAGATACATCCCATATCCTATAAAGTTGTAGGCTGTTAGACCTTAGATTACAAGTTAGGTATGTCTGAACGAATTGAAGCATGTCATTTGTTAGTAGTTTTCGAGTGCGTAGATAGCATTTTGACTGAAAAAGTTCATTAATTTTCCTTTTTTATTAACGTCTGGCATCTTAGAATTTAACACAATAGAAAACGAAAACAAACAACAACAAGCCTTCAAGACTGTTATAGCTTTATTTTTTGGTTCTACCAATCGACACGCGCAGCATTGCGGAAAAAATTAACGTTTAGCATGTTACTAAAAGAAGAGGGCGTTCACGACCTTACTGGACATTTTTCTATTCAAGTTAACACGAGTTAATATCGTGAATACCCCTAATATAAGACCGAAAATCATAAGTTAATGTACTTTTTTATGGCACGTCCTACAATGATTATAATTTTTGAATTTAACATATTCAAACAACAAATTTATTTATTGATTTAAAAAGAAAAAAAAAATGAATTTATTTACAACCACCGATTTTCTTCGGAGGGGGAATTACCCGTTTAGATTTGCGTCTTCGGATCATGTTCATTCGTTGAGGGGAACTGATTAAAATATTCAAAAAACGATTGCTTTATATGTTTAAATTTTTCATATCGACCCAACTATTGTGTGTAGAATCGAAACCGAGCCATTTTACTAGGGCTTTTCCTTTATTTTTCTTAATAACTTTTTCTACTAAGTGGCTGTCTGGATATTTTACTAGCTGCAATTCTTCTTGATAAAACCCTCCTGCTGTTTCCTGGCCGGTTGAATCCATCAAGATATACGTCACAGGATTAGTTTTTAATTTTACATACATTGAAGATCTCTGTGAAAAACAAGAAATGTAACCTTTACTAAATTCTGCTTTGTATTTCGTTATCCTCACGTGATCCCCAATTTTGAATTTTATTTTCCTTTTGTTAATTTTGTTTTTTAAAACGAAAATATTTTCTAATAAATGGGTTTCAATTTTACCGGATTTTACAGCTGCCGGTGCCATCCCTATCGTACGGTGTTTTTTATTGTTGTATTCATTGAGCAGCGATTTCAGCAATGGTAACCCTTCCTTGGTTGGCTAAATCTTTTCCAAAACATTGTTTTTAAGGTTCTAATCGCTTGTTCTACTATGGATGCTTTTGCATTACTGTAGGTGGAATAATGATTTATATGGAATTTTTTAAACGGAAAATTTGTTTCTTTATTGTAAAATTCTTTGCCGATCGGTTTGCAAATTTCTTGGTACACTACCTTCGGATGATTGCAAAATTTTGTTGAACGCTCCTTTTATTTCATTGCCCGATTTCCTTTTTACTTCCATTGCCCAAATATATTTCGAAAAACAGTCAATCACGATCAATATATATTTGAAACCTTTATTTTGTTTACTGTAAGGTATCATCTCTATCAGGTCCGCATGCGATAAATCGACGATTCCTTTCAATATTACTTTACGCCTTTTGAAATTGCTCTTCGCAGGTCGATCAATTTCTTCTACGATTTGTCGTTTTACCTCCGACATGTTTGTTATACGGATTCACATGAAGAAATGATTAATATCGGCATGATATGGAAGGTTTTATACACTTATTCGAGCATCGCGAAGTTTATTTTCAATATATTCGATCTCGCCAGTGACCATACATTGACACAGGTTTACGGTACTTTTACCGCCACTTCAATGTCCATGGTATCATTTCAACTTATTTTTTTATTACATAAATTATTCATTGATTTTTACATTCTTTTTCGGTATGCTATATACATATTGCATGTAATAAAATATAAGAAAAATCACAGATCAAACGTTATAAAACATTAACATTAGGAACAATTAAATACATACAACGAAATAAATGAAATAAACAAATACATGTAACGGAACGCGTTTTTATAAAATCATTCATTAACTAATAAAACATAAACTAATAAAATCATCATTTATTAACTAAGGCCTTAAAACCATACGATTTAGTATCTATTCCATTTTCACATATAATTCTCTTATTATCTAAACAGCATAATGATTTTTTATTGTATTCTATGGTGTAAACTTGATGGTGTTCAGATTTAATCTGATACATACTAATCCTTGAACTGATATCATTGAACAAAGAGTTGTAATATTGCTGAAAAGATAGGGCTTTCTCTATGGAATATTTTTTAATTCCTTTGGCTTTTTTAATTTCGGTTACATCTTTAAATAAAATGGAATACATTTTGGCGCGAAGCCCGACAAAAGAATCAATTATTCTGCCACACGTTTCGTCTTTGAATTTTCCCAAAACCTTTTTATTTTTTAGGGAATAACATTTATGGTCGAGCGGTAAGTCCGACATATTCAAGTAGCCACTTATTTCTAGGAAGTCCGAGTACAAGTCTGGTTATGATTTTGTATATGAAAGAATCCGTATCAGTATAAAGTAAAGTAATTTTTTCCGTTCCAAATTTTGGCAATATAACATCATAAAGGTTATACATCACAGTTTTTGAAATATCCAATACAGCCAACCCAACATAAATTGGTTTATTGAACGTAATTGATTTTTTCTATAAGTGGACAGAGGCTAAATTTTCATATAAAATTATTCGATCTTTAAAATCTGGTCTAGCCATGTATTTTTCAATTTGTAGGATTCCGGAAACTAGTTTTATATTCAATTGTTTTCGAACATTTTCCATAGTTTTACCATATACCGCATTATTAAACAATTTATACATGTCCTTTTCAAAATCTGAATTACTTTGCTGTCTAAGGTTATTATTTAAGTTTATGTATGGCAACACCCATTTTTTTTTTTTTTTTACTAAATTTTATAGCTTGGTGAATTTTGCGTAAAACTAAACCGTGTTCTATGGATTGCTTTAAAGTCATGTAATGAAAAACAGATTTTATTCTACCGTTCAAATGTGTTATTTATGTGTAGAGGTTAGTGACCGTTAATCGATAGTTATTCAGATATCGTGAGATGCGGTCGAGTGAGATGTAGGTTTCAGAAAAACATTTTCTTTATCGTGCCTGAACGATAAAGAAAATGTTTTTCTGAAACCTACATCACAACCGACCGCATTTCACGATATCTGAATAACTGTGTTATTAATTTAGGGTGGTTATCAATTATCAATTTTTCTGGTAAAAATGGAAGATCGTTGTGAATAGTGTGTAAAGAAACAGGATAATCGACATCAATTTCTAAAATATGACCATAATCATCGTCTTCGGTTAATTCATTGATATTTATCATATCAAGATCTTTTACCCACGAAAAATCACGATATGGTATATGTTATAGCTAAACCGTATAAATTGTTGCAATCCTGATAGCAAATATAAGACTCTTCTTGATTCTGATCGAAATGTTACAATTCGTGGTTGTTGGCTTTAGCATAACGGTTAGAAACTTGGCAAATCCCACCTCTGATTCCATTTTCGATCATTAGAAGCATGTCATAATCTTTTACTAACTCTAATCTAATTTTTGAAAACGGAACATAGCGTCCCATGATAGCCCTGGCAATGTATTGCAGGATCCAATCCGTGAGAGTGGAAAATCGAAGTTCTAAATCTTTCAAATATGTCACTTAACAAAAGAACATCCGATTTGAGATATACATCGCTGTATTTTCCCAGAGTACGGCGATCAAATTCTTTCCAAATCATTTGGGCTCGATGGTACTCTTCGTCTGTTATCCCACTACCCGACAACTTACTGAAAAATGTATCTTTAATAGAAATGATAAATGATGGAGTGAGTGTGGTGTTCAATACTCTTTAAAAGGATAGTTCCTACTCACAGTAAGTTGTTTTGCAACAATCCGGATTTCGAGCCTTTTAGCTCATCATCAGGTTGAAGGACTTCTACAACCACGTCTCTCGACATGAATTGCCAAAGTGAACCGCTGATACCTCCACCTACGCAACGTTCCAATTATCAGCTGGTTTTTTTAATGACGCTCAATTTGAACGTGCGGAAATTATAACACAAATAAATATTAGAATAATAAATACTTAATATTACTATAAATTACTATAAATTACTATAAAAATAATAACAATTAAAATAATTAGATTAATTATNAATAATATCAAACATCCAAATAATTAATCTAATTATTTTAATTGTTATTATTTTTATAGTAATTTATATTAATATTAAGTATTTATTATTCTAATATTTATTTGTGTTATAATTTCCGCGTTTCGCACGTTCAAATTGAGCGTCATTAAAAAAATCAGCTGATAATTGGAACGTTGCGTTGGCGGAGGTATCAGCGGTTTACTTTGGCAATTCATGTCGAGAGACGTGGTTGGAGAAGCCCTTCAACCTGATGATGAGCTAAAAGGCTCGAAATCCGGACGTTGCAAAACAACTTACTGTGAGTAGGAACTATCCTTTTAAAAAGTAATGTATATTTATGTGGTAGTACAGTCTCTTCCAGTTCATCCCAAGATTTGATATATTCATAAG